ATATGGGTATTTTAGTTTCTTTTTTTTCAGTACTGGCGATCAAACTCAGGACCTTGTGCCTGCAAGGCAGGTGTGGTGCCACTGAGCTAAATCCCTGCCCTAGTTTTCTTTTTTTTTTGAGACAAGGTCTCACTATGCAGTTCAGGCTAATTGAACTCTCCATGTAGCTCAGGTTGGCTTTGAACTCATGGTTGTCTTCCTGCCTCAGCTTCCTGAGTACTAGGATTAAGGCTTGCACCATCAGGCCTGTCCTTTTTTTTTTTTTTTTTTAATCTCTGGGACTGAAACAGGTGGGTGAAGGGCAGCCTCTGTAGAGCTGTGTGTACTTCACCTTCCACATTTCTTGCTATTGGTTTCTCTCCACATTACTCTGGCCTCTGTTTCTTAAGCATTTGTTTGCCAGAAATGACACTGACTGATTTGTTTAAGTCCTCTCATTTGAGCCTCTTGGCAGCCCAGAGATGTTATCCACATCTTAGAGGTGGGAACTGAGTGTGGAGAGGTTAAGGAATGTGTCCAATGCTGAAGCTTGGGACTTCCAGAGGATGATCTTACCCCCTGGCGTGCCTTTCTGTAGTTTAGGAGGTCCAGAGACAATGCATTTCCCAGCCTGCCCTCAATGCAGGAGAGCTGTGGTCATGCTCACCCTAGGGTACAGCACTCCAGACTGGGGAACTGGCAGTGACTTTCTGATTTTCAAAAACATCTGGCAAAACACAAGCTACACTGCCTCTTGGTGGCACTTTCCATTTTTTGTTTTGCTTGTTTTTTGAGGCAGGAGCTCACTGTGTAGTCCAGACTGGCCTTGAACTCTGTGTTCAGGCTGGCTTTGAATTTGTAATCCTCCTGCCTCAGCCTCCTAAGTGCTGGGATTATGGACATGCACCATGACACTTGGCACATTCTTCCTTTTCTAAGGCTTAGTTTGAATGTTGGGATGATGGGAAAATCCAAATTATTGATTAGTGTTTGCACTTTTGTTTTTAATGCTGCAGAGAAATCTTTTCTTTCTTAGAGAAAAAGGTGACAGTGTTATAGAATCCTGAGTTTCTATAACAGCAGGTATCTGTAGAGCAGTTTCAAGAACACCAGAATGTTCCAAAAATAAAGTACACTGAAACAAGCACTAACCAAAAGGACCTGTCAGATGTCAGCTGTAGACTCAGAAGAATCAGTTTTATGATGAAATATGTTGAAACATTTGGATTCCTTTGAGTTTCTTTTCCTGGTACCTACCGTAGCTTCCTTTTCATAACCAAAAGGTTCAGTTTTCTTGTTTTTCCAGTGGGCAATTATTTGCTGAAGAGAACACCAAAACTTCTCTTTTCTACCTGAGACTCTTGTGTTGTTCACATAATGCTGGCTTCTTCCCTCAAAACTTACGCTGGGTCCCAAGATTCCATCTCTTTAGGATTAATGTCGTGACTCCTTCCCACTCTAAAAAGCTGTGTCATTCTAGCTAGTCAGTATCTCTGGGTTAATATTCCAAGACAGGGAACAAAAATTATCCAATACAAGAGAATCCTTTCTCCTACCTTTAGATGCGCAACTCCATATTTGTGTAGGTCTTTTCACAGAAGGTTTATGTCACTTAGGGTAAGTGCCTTGGGGAGGAGACCTGATCATGTATCAAGTGAAGGACTTAGTGTTTCAGAGCTCAGCCCAGGACCTCTTGGAAGTGCACAGGGAAGCCCAGGGCACCTCCTTTTCTTTGAGTTCCAATAGGAAAACTCATGTCTGCTAAGTGCTTCTCTTTTTAGCAGAACTGGGTAACAGAAACATACTGCCCAGTAGAATTGTAATTATTGCACAAGACTTGGCTAACTTATTTTTTTTCCTTTAAGAAACTTCCCTTTACCATCCCAGAGTTGGTACAGGCATCCCCATGCCGAAGCTCAGATGGAATCCTATACATGGGTAAGAGTTCTTGTTTTCAATACTAAAACTTGGATCTCTTTGACATTGAGTCCCAAAAGTCGAGAGACAGGGCTGCTGTCACCCACTTAACCAATCCTTGTGGGAGAGGCCTTTCTGCCTTGATTGTGTTGTGGTACTGTTCGTGCCAGGATCAGGTGACCAATTAAGAAAAGGTTCCCCCTACCTGGGAGAAAAATTGATGCCATTAATATGGTTACTCATTTAACAAGCTTTTAGCTGCTGGGTTGGCCTATTTCTGTGATTTCAAGATTGCAACATACCTAGCTGCAATTGAATGAAATTTAAAGTGAATGTAATAGTCTGAGCCAAGGAAGGGAAGCCAGGTCTTGCCTATTAATTATAGGACTTTCTTAGTATTTTCTGCTATCAGAATATTGTGTAGAAATAGCACTTAACAGCTTGTTTACATGAGCTGCCTTTATACCTCATGAGTCACAGCTTTCAAAGCATCAACTCACCTGCTTTTTTTTTTTTTTACCACTTTTCTGCCAAAATATCAATAAAAATAAATTTGTAACACAAAGGAGAGCTGTATTTATCTTGAAATCATCGTTATAATAATAGCTTGTGTTTATATAGGAGCTTGCTTTTTGAGGAACTGAAAGTATTTATTACTTATTCAAGCCTTGGGAGCTTTATGTGTGTTTCTGGGTTTCAGATGTGGGCCAGCTTTTGAGCTTTTGCTAGGGACACTGGGACTCTTGCTTTCTTCCAGCCCTTCAAACTAGGGAACTGTTAGCCTAGGGATACAAAGAAAGTAATCAATATTTAAGAGTGTGGTAGTTGCCCAATTCATCTTTTGAGGTTGTAGCCAGGTTATGCAGACTGTAATGGTCCTTGAAGTAAGCAGATGTATATCATACCAGATGGAAGGGATTTATGGTCAGAACTGCTTAGTGACAATTTCATTTTGTCTTCATTTAAAAAAATTAAGGTCTTATTATTGAGAAGAGAATTATGATCCATGGGCAAGTTGCACACACATAGAACTGGCATGTTTGCTACATCTGTTTGCTTTAGCAAATTTTAATGCCCCATGACCTGCCTCAGTATCACAATATTCTGCTTTTAGAAATCTTGGTTGTAGGATATTTTTTAATAAGTTAGCATGATACAAATAACCAGGGGCCATGCCTTACAAAACAGAAATGTACACATCACAGTGACTGAGTTGACCTTCAGATCAGAGGCCCATGCTACTGTCTCACTGTTAGCCCAGATGTCCTGTTGTATATTGCATGTTTACATGTGCTGTGTGTTTTCCTTATAGTATTGTTCAGCTTGTGCTGTCTACCTGTCCACATCTTTTAATCAGCTGCCCAAAGCAAGGGTTATGATCTATTACTTGGGAATAACTTACAGACTGGGTATAGAGGCTGAGATAACTTCGGCTTCATTAGCATCAGGTTACAACCAACTCCGTTGACCAGGCACAGGTACTAGCTAATTATGGTTATCAATGGTAACTATAGGTTCCCTTCACACATGGGCTAATTAATAAGGACATTGGGAAATAAGAATTGTGGTTACCAGGGAGATGAACCCATGGGTATATTTCTGTATTTACATAGCTCCAAAGTCTGTGGGAAAAAGGATTACCCTTTATATAAGTCAAGATTTTTCATATTTAAGGCCACTAATCAAAGCAATAAAATCAACTTTGAAAGTTAGGATGCTTTTAGTAAGCTATAATTAGTTTATTGTGTTTGGAGAAATTTTATATCATGATTAAATTATAAAATATAAGGTCTAGTGGCCCAAGATGTTGTTTCAACATTACAGTTTATTTTGTCACCTCAGGGAATTATAGAAATGTCTTCAACAGCCTACAGATTTCAGGCCTCTCAGCACAGAGAATGTCTTGAAGATCTAGAAATGCTACTTTGGCAGCAGTATGTTTTTCCATGTAGGATAGGTGTAAATGCCAGTATTCTGTGACCTTTCAGGTAAAAAGCAGGATATTTGGTATGTCATTGACCTCCTGACTGGTGAGAAGCAGCAGACTTTGTCATCAGCCTTTGCAGATAGTCTCTGCCCATCAACCTCCCTTCTGTATCTTGGACGAACAGGTAAGAAATGAACCTCATGTACAGCCTGCTTGTTTCCCAAAAGAATGTAACAAAGCTCCTCTACTATTGGCCTCTGTTTCTGGCATTGTTCTCCAGAATGTGGCCGGGGGTGTCTTCTCCAAACAGTGTGAAACTCCCTTTCTAAGACCCTTCTGTGACCCCCATTGCCCAAGGGATGCAGTTCAAAGCGCCCCATACCCACAGAGCCCCTGGGGTGCAGCTGCTACCTCCCTCTTGCTCATTCTCCCCTGTATTTCCTTCACTTAAACTTTTTCCAACTGGTGTGGGATACCTGCAGTTCTCAGAATAGCTGTGCTTCTTTTACAGACTCATAATAGGATGTTCTTCTGCACAAGGTATTCCTGGTTTTGCCTGTCTAGAAAATGACCTCTCTTTTTTTCACAACTCTGCTCAAAAATGTCCTGCTCGAAGTCTCTTCCCTAGCTTTAAAGCCCCCACCCTGCCCAGGGACACTTGGTTCAGCTTTTCCATTCTTGGGGCACACATAGCAGCTGGCAAGCCGTTGTGGCCATCTCAGTGCCATCTCAGTTTCTGTCACTGTCCCTGTACAGGCATGAGCAGCATGTCATTTTCTGTTGCCTCTCATTTCAGCCACCTTCTCCTTAACACTTGTCACTACATATTTATAAATTTTATGTGCCTGTTTTCTGCCTCCCCCACTGAAATATCATTTCCCTTAGGGAAGACTTTGTTTTGTACACTGGACATATTACCTAACATGTAGTAGGTGCTCAGATGTTTGAACAAGTGAATGACTGAGCCTCATTGCTGTGGAAACGTGCCTTACGCATTTGTGTATGTGCGGCACCTTGCGTATGTCAGGTTTGCCATAAAAATTGTGGAACACAAGTTAAAGCTAAAAGCTGAAGCCAGGAAACATTTAGAAAAAGAAAATTATACCAGAAAACCTAGGCTCCTATACATATGTAGGATTATCGTATATCAATAAGATTTATATATATATAAAGCCAAACCTAGTTTTAAACATAGGATGAGCCGGGGATTTAGCTCAGTGGTTCCGACTCCTGCCTTGGAAGTGCAAGGTCCCAAGTTCGATCCCTGGTATTCCCCCAAAGAAACATAAGATGAAGGGGCCGGGGATTTAGCTTAGTGGTTTCACCGCCTGCTGCACAAGCACAAGGACCCAAGTTCAGTCCCCGGTACCAAAAAAAAAACATAAGATGAGGGCCGGGGATTTAGCTCAGTGGCACCACGCCTGTCTTGCAGGCAAAAGGTCCTGAGTTCAATTCCTGGAACCAAAAAAATAAAAATATATAAGATGAATTCATCACAATTGAGTCTTAAATTTAGTCTAACCATTCAGGTAGCCATAGCTGTACAGAGACAGAACTTTCCTTCAGATCAGTAGAAAACTGCCTTTCTGCAGATTAGAAAGGCCCCGTTCTGGAGACTGGCTGGCCTCTCCTGCTCCTGGAAGGGAGGTCTTAGACTGCAGAACTCTCCGTCCTTCCCCTGGAAAAATCAGCTGTTGTGATTGCTTAGGATTTGTTCTCTCTCTCTCTCTCTCTCTCTCTCTCTCTCTCTCTCTCTCTCTCTCTCTCTCTC